GGCTCAGTTCCATGCTCATTGCTTCAGTGATGCTATCTAACCATCTCATCCTCTGCCGTCCCCTTCTCCTTTTGCCTTCCATCCAGTGATGCTATCTAACCATCTCATCCTCTGCCGTCCCCTTCTCCTTTTGCCTTCAGTCTTTCCCCGCGTCCGGGTCGTTTCCAAAGAGTCCTCTCTTCGCCTTAGGCGACCAGAGTATCTGAGCTTGAGCTTCAATCAATCCTTCCAATGAGCAGTCAGGGTTGATTTCCTTTAAGATTGACTGGTTTGACCTCCTAGCAGTCCAGGGGACTCTCAAGAGTCTTCTCCAGCACCACAGTTCAAAGGCATCAATTCTTCAGCGCTCAGTTACAGTTATATGTTACAGTTCAACATATGTAAGTAGTTCCCACTGCTGCCACAGGTCCAACATACCTCTACTCAAAAGTAAGCCACTTGGAGTTCAGTGGGGTATATGTTGAAGTTAAGCAGCTATAGGATTGCAGCCCAACTTAATTATTAGCTTTTGTCAATTGCAGTTTAATTAATTGCCCCATCCTATCTAAAAACTGTATTTTTCAAACACCCAGTTTATCTTTTCCCCATCCCAAACTGAGTTTTTCAGTTCAGAGGAGACAACTGGGAAAAAACCCCCAGCCTAACCACAGCTATCTCAGCTCTGTAAACTGGAGCCACTTTTTAACTAGGTCACTTTCTATAAGAAGGCTATTTTTTTTTTAATCTAAGGATGCTGAACCAGATGGTTGACAACAGCCATAAAAACACCCCATAAAACAATTGCAACAAACATACTTTAAGCAGCACTTAAAAGTCATTGAAGATCAGCTGTTCACCAAGTTTAGCAGAACAGCTCCCGTTGGGAACGGTATCTGCAAGTTCAGGAATTGTCTGCTGCAAAGCCAAGAAAAAAAAATGACCAATTGAAAAGGTGCCAGGTCACTTCTGGGGGGGCTTTCATATGTAAAGCTAAGTCAGGATTTTCTAAACCAAATTATTGTGGCTTGGATCATATGTCACATTAAGCTAAAACCAACAAATGGCAATACGTGCTGTGAGATTGCCTATCCCACTAAGCCACAATACGAGTTCTTTATTTTTGGATGATTTGATTATGGTTATATTTTTATCCTGCCTTTTCATAGATAGATAGATAGATAACTCAAGGCTGCAAACATACATAATACTCCTGCCTCCTGTATTCCTACAACAACAACCCTGTAAGGTGGGTTGGACTGAGAGCCAAGGGCTGGCCCAAAGCCACCCAGCCAGATTTTATGCCTAAGGGAGGACCAGAACTCACAGTTTTCTGGTTCCTAGGTCAGCACCTTAGCTACTACCCCAAACTGGCTCTCAGTTTAGGTGACGTATAGAACTAAATCAGTATGGTTCAGATACTGGTTTATGGATTACTGATAAGTGTGAACTGGACACTTATGATTAATTCAAGGGAGCATGGTTAAACGAGACCATGACTTAGCATGATGTGTGAGCCTAGCCAGGGTGTCAGAAGTTGTTTTTTGCTTCCTTCTGCTAGCAGAAGGAAGAAAGCTGAATGTGCGCTTGAAAGGAGATACCGACCCAGGACAGAAGCCAAACCGTAATGTAGTACGGAGGTGCAGGAAAGGCGGGGGAAGGAACACTTATGTGCTTCAGCTTTCAGATTCCCTTTTGAACTGCTGCCAGTGAGGAGGCACTGACAGACAGATGCCATTTGGGAGAAAGGAGGTTGCATCACCCCAAGGCTATTGCCATCAAAAATAAGCTAAAAACGAATGACTAATTGGGTTGTGCAGATCTGCGGCCATTGCTGCAAAGGATGATCTGTGATGACATTTAAGGATGTTCTGTCAGAATAATAAACACAACGTGAGTCCAGAGCAGGCCCAAAGTTCTCATAATTGATAGATCAATGCTCCTCTTCGATTGTTTTTTCAGGGGTGTGCTTTATTGTCCACTTTGCAAGCTTTGACTGATGTCTTCAAGGTGCCAACTGGACTGCTTTCAGGTCCTCTAGCAGTTAATTTGCTAATGGGCAAATTGATGCATCTTCTCAGTATGATACAGCCACAGCAATGCATATGTATGAACGTTAGGGCATCCAGCTGTTTTGCACCACGTTTTGGTGCAGATGCATATTTGAGTCAGAGCAATAACCTACTGGAAGACGGTGTTTTGCTAATGTGTCCTTAACTAAAATATTGATGACCCTTGGTTTTTCAATCGGCAGAATAAAGAATATAGCCCCAAGCCAAAAGAGATGCCGTCTAACAAATGTGCGATTGAGGAACATGATACTGTCCATGATATAAGAATAATGGGGTAATTAGCATTTCCTTCTAGAAACACTGATTGATATAATATTGTTTCTTTACTGTGAGTTAAAGAACCCCAACCCTGTGTAGGGAAAGCATCAAGCAGGCATGAGGCTGTATGTGATGTTTGTTGTGTGGATAGATCTTGTGCATCTTAGTTGCAAGATTTGGGCTGAACATCAGGATAAATTCTTGGTCCAAGTAGTTCAGTAGTGCAACTACAGTGGTACCTCGGGATATGAACTTAATCCGTTCCGTGACTCTGGTTGCAACTCGAG